TTCAGGACTAACAATAAATTTTTATCAAAGGACATTAATATTTTACTTATATATCTCATCATCTTATATTACAGCCTTTTCCTGGACTTCGAAAAATTTTTCATAAAATATTCAGACTTATATATATTAATTAATTATTGTATATTTTGCATATACATTTTATTTGACTCTTTCATTATTGTAAAATCTCTTATAATTTATCTCGAAATATACACTATTTATTTAAAATTATTAACAATTCTTTAATTGATTTGTTATTATGAAATGTTGGTTTTCTTTCAGGAATATGTTTGACTATTCAATTAATTAAAAAAGTATTTTTAGTAATACATTGAATTAGTTGTGGGATATTAATTGCAATTTATGCAATAAATATTCTGGTCACAAATCTGTTGCTTTGTTTAGTTGCATATAATAAATGTTTAAATAATCAATAATATAATATTGCAATTGTTTTCTATCATTTCAGTCAAAAATAAATATATATATATATACAGTTCCAAGTTTTCAGAGACTAAAATATTTCTTGTCATTAAAGTAAAAATGCCTTTTAATTTTATTTTATTTAAACTTAACTATTTTTTAAAAAATCTGCAATATTTATTTTTACATTTGCTGATTTGATGTTTTATCGATAACATAATAAAATTAAAAATATACATAATTTTAACATATTTTCCTATTTTTTATCAGCATCGGTATATTAAGTTTTCGATATATTTTCTTCCTTTAATCCTAATCTTCAATTTATATTTATTGATAAATTATATTTATGATACATTATATTTATTATATATATAATATTATTTGTAAAATACTAAACGTACTGTGTTAGGCTACCTATGAGGCACAGACCATTTTGTAAACAAATCACTCAGTTTGCATCGAAACGTTGAATAGATCAGATATATACAGTGATAAACAGTATTGTATTTCAAAAATAATTATTAGTTATTTTAAAAGTAATTTTTATCTGTCCAAAACCTTGTGCCTTAAGACAAATTGCTAGAACTTCCCGTACCGTAATTAAACATTCGAAGAATGAAAATAATCAATAATTGTTTTGAAGATTTTCAAATAGATTATTTATTATAAATACATACATAGGGCGATGAGCGTATTTTATAAACAACTTATGTGTACGTTTAAGAGTCATTTTTTTATAAATTAGTTTTTTTTGATAATTTGATAATCTGTTTTTTTAATTTTTCAAAACTGAGTTTTTTTTTGAAAATGATGAAAAATTTCGAAAATTTGAATTTTTTGAAACTTTGATTTTTTTTTTGAAAATTTTCAAAATTACAAAATGTTCTGTAAATGCAATTTTTCCACACCATCTACTCAAGCAAAATGTTTTTCGAGTTAATCTAATCGGATGATCCACTCTCTCAAACACTGCATAACCGTTTTTACAACCTTTGCGCTCCATACCTCCAAAACGGCTAGACGTGCCTTTTGAAAAAACGCCTCGCGATCGAGTACGAACCGAATGAGTTTTTAATCATACGTATCGGTCATTCCATACTGTTGAAAATGTCGAGGACATTTGTTTGAAACATATGAAAAAACTTTAAAATTAAAAGTCTCGGTACTGAACCCAAAAAAATTTACACAAAATGTGTACACATTATTAACATCTCTATAAAATATCTAATAATTTTATGTACATATGTCCAATAAACATTTTTGACCGCCAAAAATGACATTTTTTTAACTCATTTTTATTGAGAGTCCATAACCGCTGGACCCGCCTTCCCAAAAAATTTACGAGTTGTTCATTTTGACAATACAAGTAAAATGTTTTTTAAATTATTAAAATCGGACGCTCCGCTCTCTTAAAAACTGAGTTACCGTTTTCGGCACTTTTTGCCCCGTATCTTCGGAACGGCTAGACCTGCCTTCGCCAAAAACTAATCAGCACGTCTCCTTATCAATACGAATCGAATGTTTTTTGAATTATTCAAATCGGTTGATCCGTGTTCCCGAAATCGTCGACGAAAATTTGTATCCGCACATACATACACACACGCACATACATACATACATACATACACACACACACACACACACGTATTTTTTCTAAGATATATAAAAATTTTCATTTTCGATTTTTTTGCGATCACTATAACTTGCCCTACGGGAGTTAAAAATATATGTGATTGAAAAATATATTAATTGAGCACAGTTCGCCATCTGTATTGAATTCGGAAAACGCTAAAACAGAATAAAGCTAATTTGTTCTGTAAGAGGGCGTCCATTAATCACGTGAGGCTTTAAAGGGGCGGGAGAGTTTAAAATATCACGTATAGTAAGGTATCACATGTATTTATTTTGTACCTGATTTTTTTAGAAAAATCCAAACATTTTCAAAAAAAAAAAAATCCAAAAATTTTACAATTCATTCTAGTAACTAAATGGACGCCCCCCTATGATTTTCTTGAATATTAAGAAATATTATACTCTTAAAAACTCACCCGGAAATTAACTGCAATCTGGAACTAGAACTTTGTCCACAAAATACTTCCAAACACTCACTACTACTTCGAACAAAACTAAAACACTTCTCAACACAATTTTTTTTTCAACAACTTTTCACCTTGTGCACCAAAGACTGATCTACTTTTCAAGACCATCCATAAGTATTAAAAATATTACATAAACTTAAACAAACAAATGTCTGATTCTAAATAATTTTTTTATTTGCACTTCTTGAACCGAATTTAGAATCACGCGTTGTTCGTTACCCATTAATTTGTCATATTTACAATTTTCAAAATCATTGAACAAACACAATCGAAAAGTGATAAAAACTTATCTCTTGAATTATCACGTAAAATTCATATGTTATAGTAAAGTGATAATAATAGAATAAATATGGAAAAATGAAATTCATCGTATCGATGGTAATAGATAAAAAAATTCGTCGTGTGTAGGTCAAAAAAATTTATATCGATTACATTTTTCGGCAAGTTTTGCGTAAATTGTACGGTACCTTTTGTTTTCAATTCACTTTTTTGCATTTCACTTCACTTAAATTCACTTAAATCATCAGGCAACGAAAGTCCGTTACGCCAATATGGCGTCAACTGTCAACCGCCATGTTGAAACTGAAACATCAAATTTAATTGAAATGTATAAATATTATTGAACAGAACAAATATACTTCTACTTAGGTGCTTATTACTTGTGAATATAAATATAAATATGAATATAAATATAACTATAAATATTAATATAAAAATAAACATAAATATGAATATAAATATAAATAATAATATTTCTAATACTATTTCAAAATATTTTTTAACAGTATTTCGGGATTCGAACTCCGAACCTTTGGCATATGAGTCGAGAACGCTGCTCATGAGCTAATCCGGCAACATTATATCTAAATAAAATTTTCTCTATTGTAATATAAATATTACTAATTAAAAAAAAAATAGTCCTAAATTCATCAATAATATTTTTTATTTCAGTCAATAAATACAACAAACATATAAATTCATATAAAAAGTGTTTCTTTACATCGTAACGATATGAATCCATTTTTCTTTACAAAAACATCCAAAAGCCAAAAACAGAAAAACATTTTAAAAAACAGCCAAAAACATTATTAAGTACATTTCTAATATATAAATAAACTATGTATATAAATATGTCAATAATTTCAATTTCAACAATTTATAATTTCTAATAATATTTAATAATTTTTTTTAAATAAAAAATACAAACAGCAACAATCACATCGTTAAAAAAATCTTTGGTTTATATCAAAGTCTGTTGGTATTTAAAAAAAATCACCGTAAAACCCCGTTAAGACGATAGCGTATTATGCGGGAAATGTGATCAACCCTAAACGTATTAACGGGCTTAAACTGTATTTATATTATATGTAATAAATAAACAATTTGTGAATCTGACACATAATAAGACGACTGGGTTTTATCCAGTTGACTGTGAATGACGTGTATACTCGTCATGGAAAAGTTGCAGAATTTTGTGTGTTGATGAGTATAGTCGTCAACGAGCTGATTATACCTAAAAAAATACTACTGACCCACCATGCTATATATAGTGCAGCTACAAGACTAGAATCGTATTTATGGCTACGACAAAAAAATCGCAACAAAGCTCCCGTTAATTCTTAATATATACAATTAATAACAAAATTTCAGCAATTTTAGTATTTGTGGACGTAGTAAAAATACTTAAGTATAGCATACTAAATTTACAACACTCTAGTATTAATAGTTTAATTTTGAAAAATAATTTAGTAAGCAATAAAATTGTAAAGCAAACCCCTTCAGGAATGAGGTACTTTTTTCAGAAAATTGTTGATAACGCAAGTTTTATAAAACAACTAATCAATTTTAGTATTTGTGGACTTAGTAGACATACTCAAGTATAATATACTAAATTTTCAACGTTCTAGTATTAATAGTTTAATTTTGAAAATAATTTAGTAAGCAATAAAATTGTAAAACAAACTCCTTCATGGATGAGGTACTTTTTTCTGAAAATTGTTGATAACGCAAGTTTTATACAACAACACATCAATTTTAGTATTTGTGGACTTAGTAGACATACTTAAGTATAGCGTACTAAATTTACAAAATTCTAGTATTAATAGTTTAATTTTGAAAAATAATATAGTAAGCAATAAAATTGCAAAGCAAACCCCTTCAGGAATGAGGTACTTTTCCTGAAAATTGTTGATAACGCAAATTTTATAAAACAACTCATCAATTTTAGTATTTGTGGACGTAGTAGACATATTTAAGTATAGCATACTAAATTTACAAAATTCTAGTATTAATAGTTTAATTTTGAAAAATTATTTAGTAAGCAATAAAATTGTAAAGCAAACCCCTTCAGGAATGAGGTACTTTTTTCAGAAAATTGTTTATAACGCAAGTTTTATAAAACAACTAATCAATTTTAGTATTTGTGGACTTAGTAGACATACTTAAGTATAGCATACTAAATTTACAACGCTCCCGTACTAATAGTTTAATTTTGAAAATTATTTAGTAAGCAATAAAATTGTAAAGCAAACCCCTTCAGGAATGAGGGACTTTTGCTGGAAATTGTTAATAACGCAGGTTTTATAAAACAACTCATCAATTTTAGTATTTGTCGTCATAGTAGACATACTTAAGTATAGCATACTAAATTTACAATGCTTCCGTACTAATAGTTTAATTTTGAAAATTATTTAGTAAGCAATAAAATTGTAAAGCAAACCCCTTCAGGAATGAGGGACTTTTGCTGGAAATTGTTAATAACGCAGGTTTTATAAAACAACTCATCAATTTTAGTATTTGTCGTCATAGTAGACATACTTAAGTATAGCATACTAAATTTACAATGCTTCCGTACTAATAGTTTAATTTTGAAAAATAATTTAGTATTCACTAACTTTAAGGTGGATACTATAGTGTGGCTGTTGGCAATCTTTCAATGCTGGTATACTTGTTACTATTTTTTATTCATTACTTATTACATAATAGTTATCGTTGGATGATAACATTTGTCTTTTAATACATTTTGATTTGAACAATTTTAGCAATCAGTTAGAAACGACGCAATGGAATTGGGCCCAAATATTTTAATTTGGGGTAATCTTTGATTAAAATTTAAAGTTTTAACCAGTACTAATAATGATCCAATACATCAGTCCAAATATTTTAGGGTCAATTATAAAATCCTTAGAAATACTGGTGTAGCCAAAAATTCTTGACAGTGCTAGTGCCAAAACTATTTAACCACTAACTAACCAGCCCGTGTCAAATCTTAATGTTTCACCAGGCTAATATTTTCCTGATCCCTACATCAATTCTTATGTCGCCTTATTATGTGGGTCAATTCCAATTGTTTTTATAATAATCTCTTTTTTCTTGCAATCTTTTTCTAATGAGGCCTCGAAAGTTGCGTCGAAGCAGAATCTGCACTTCCAGCAGCACCTGCAGCATTTCCATCTGCACTGTCACCCCCATTTGCAACCCTTGAGCACCGGTTGTTCAAGAAATCCCGGATGTGCTGCACTATCAAGTCGATGGCAACTGTTGGAAACATTATTATGGTAATTGGCAATATCAAAATATGTCCAACCTAAAGCCAATACTAGTAGTTTTGTATCTGTATTTGAATTTGTGACAATCTTATGACATTGCATAACTTGACATGTAAGATAATGTCATTCTTTTCGCGCGCGCAGGATGATGTTGAATACTCATATTAATAGTAGCGCCATCTAGTATCCTTACTGTGTTTTAAGTAAATATTTTTTATGTTCTATATATTGGTACAACTGTTAAAATGTTCTATGTTTCATTTTTATATCAGTTTTAGGAATTATTCTGATTTGAGCCTTGTGCGAATAAAGAAATAATTTTGCTAGTAAATATGTGTTTCCTTTTCTAAGTGTTTGATATTTTATAACTTTTTACAGATATAGAATAATTAACATCACGAAAAGCATTTTACTTTTGTATTGATTTTGTATCATTTCCTGGCAGAATGTTTAAATGTATTGTTGTAATTGAAAGATGATTAATGGGGCAATTCTGCCGTAACAAAGCCAATAAAATGCTTGTAAGTAAAACTGTGAAACTGTCTATCTATTTGCCGTGCGATCAGGCGTATTTCACATATAAACAAGCAAAGAATAATGTTATGGTAACACAATTCTAGATGGTGCAGTTGTCATAAGATTCTTGTCGAGTTCTCATAATAGTTCCATATTATCGTGTTATAGTAGGGTTGACTGTGTGTATGCGTTTTAATAGAAATAATATTAACATTGAAAAGTAATTGACGACCTGTGTGTATGAATATCGCCTATATACAATATGTATACTACATACCTTTACTTCAAAACTTATCACTCTGAGCTAAATTATTGAGAATCCCAATTTGTTTTGGTGTTTTTTTAATAAAAGTGTAATTTTTAAGTTTAGTAAAAACAATTAAATTATTTCGAGAAATAAATATGTACAATAGTATCACTCAATATAATTCTGTCTTCACATTTTTTTGTATCCAAAAAATACCATACTAAATATATTCTATATTCCATGTAACCTCACAAATGTTTTTTGTTTAACAAATACAATGCTATGATATGATGACGATGACTACAAAGCTTAAAAAAACTCCTGTTCAAAATTTTTACAAATTTTTCTCTTTATTAATACTTTCATATGATTATTACAAAATACAAAACAATTGACAATCATCACAAACGACATACGAGGTGTTTATAAAAAAAAACATGTTTCACCGCCCTATCACTGTGAAGTTTGCTATGGACTTTCAACTGTGTGAACATAGCTTCGGGACAAGTGCACCAACATGACAAAAAAAATTTATTACAGATCGCTATATATATTTTTTTTCAAACACCTCTTATGCGTTTTTTTGGAAATCTGAACACATTTCGTTAAATCTAAGAACATAAATATAAATTTATTTGCATTTTTAAAAACAAGTTTTTGGAGTAAACTTAGTAAATATATTTTAATTAAATATTGGTATAGTATCTGAACAAATGCACATCACAATTTTATTTTTATTTTATCAAAATTTTATATTATTTTAGAATTATACGACGTCCCATAGACATGACAAGAAAACTAAAATTTAGTATGAGCTTTCACACAAATTTTAATAATATTGATAATACAGAAAGCTTGTTATCAACAAATATTTGAGCCTATTATCGGATTACACTTAATTCGTTCAACATATTACTATAATGGGGCAAATCTGCTGTAAGAGAGCTCATATAATAGCGTTGTCATGGCAACGCAATCTTATGCTCCTTTCTTCGCTGTGAAAATGTCTATCTGTTTGTCGTACGGTCAGGCGTATTTTACATATAAACAAGCAAGGAATAATGTTATGATAACAGAATTCTAGATGGTGCAGTTATCATAACATTATTCGTTGCTTGTTTATATGTGAAATACGCCTGATCTTACGGCAAATAGATAGAAATTTTCATAATTTTTACTACAAAGTTGCCATGACAACGCTATTTTATGAGCTCTGTTGCGGCAGAATTGCCTCATAAGTGAAATAGTTATTCTCGGTTACATGTTTTATGTTATATGGCAACAATAACGCAGATAAAATTAAGTAGTTTAAATTAATAAGTACAAAAGTGTTGCACTTAAAAATTAAATAATGGTGAAGTCGAAATAATGTTATTTTAACATGTGTACGATTTGGAGGTTAGTTTTCAGACGTTGACAGAATCAAATATAAATAAACACGATAGATATAGCTTTCTATGAAACATTGTTTATGAAATATAAAATGATTTATGAAATTAAAATAAATGCACCGAGAATAGCAATACCAAGTTATCCTGGAATAGGCCCAAAAACTTCCATAAATCGTTTAAAAAATTCACGATATCAACAAGTTGTTTTTCAAATTTTTTCTTGGTCTTATAATACAAACACATATAAAATTACGAAATTTATATATTAATATAAATATAAATATACACTAATTCACAATAAAACTTTGGAGATGTAAACAAACATTAGAAAACGTTTATACGAAGGAACTCTACTGGCCGCGAGTGTAGAAAAAAAAGGAAACTGGATCGGACTCAAAAAGTAGTAATTAGAATAAGTTTCAGACAGCTTGGTATCAAGCCGCAGTAATATATATTTATGAAAATATATAAATAAATATTTTTGCTTAAAAATGTAGACCAAAAAATGTTTCAGAATCGGATATCAAGCAGCAGTAATCTACATTTTTGCAATGTGCTTATGTTTGAATATATATTTTTTTGTTCCTAAAGTAGTTCCTAAAGAAATGGACTTCCGATTAATTCGAAAAGTTCAATGAAATAATTAATAACTTTAATTATAATTAACTTTTTTAGGAAACAAGGAGGTTTTTAGTTAAAAAAATCCATTTTTGACAAAAATTAGACAATTTTCCATGCACATCTGATTTTTTTGTGAACTAGTGCAATTTTTAAGTATACGAATGCATGCTGCCTAATTAAATTTAATTCTAACCTTAACTAAAATAATTGTACTCTAATAATTGTAAATTTAACAATTAAATTGAACAAAATATTCTAGATTCAACAAATAAAAACAATTTTAACATTTATCAGTTTGTACGTCTATTATTACATTTTTTTGTAAATCAGCCTTTGGACAAACTAAACCTATTTTATTAATTAGAAAAAATTTATACATTTGGTTAAAAAATTACACGTTGGTTAAAAATGCTTTTGAAATACTGGTCGTGGGAAAATTGTGATCCCCGATTTATTAATTTTAATATTTCGTATGAAAAAAATGGCTTATAAAAATATTGGAGTAATTTTTTTTATACTACTAAAAAATTGTAAATACCATTTATTAATTCCGTTAAGTCAAAATAGTTTGCGAGATAAATATTTTAGTGTATAAAAGTACAAAATCGCTTTTTTCGTCGATTTTTTTTATTTAAATGTATCAAGTTAATGCAAACTGATATAATAATTTATTAGTTGTCCTCATTTTTTTTAGAATTAAATAGTGGCTTGATATTATAGTGTTGTGATACGAACAAGAAATCCGAAGGAACAAACTGTTTCTGAGAATATCATTTATTTTCGACGTTTCGGAACCTATATATGTTCCATCATATCTTCTCTTGCTTTTTATGTTATTTCTTGGTGTATTGGTGCTCATTTTGTGTAAAGTTGTTTTTTTTATGAAAATTTCTTGTTCGAAGCATAACACGAATACATACACACACAGATATATATATATATATATATATATATATATATATATATATGTATATTAGGGTGGTCCTTAATATGGACATTTTCGAATTTCTTTGTTCCCAATGGCTGAAATGCTTTCAAGTTGGTAAAAATAATTTACTTAATGACACATATTAATAATAAATATATGAAACTTTTAGTTGAATAGCGGACTGTCTAAATGTTATTATTAAGAGCTAAAACTATTAGAGATTTTTTTTATTAATTCGGAAACATTTGAGCCTTGGGAGCAAAGAAATTCTAAAATGTTCATGTTAAGTACCACCCTAAAGTATATGCATATGTGTGTGTATTAAAATATGACAAAAAATGCATGAATGTTTTTGAAATCTGGATCTGAACAGCAACAATTTTCTATTAAATTTGATTGATTTAACAATTAACATTATTTTCAAATAATAACACTTTAAGAAATATTTATAATAATTATTAATGCAAATTAAAATCTTTAAAAATTTTAAACTATTAATGCAAATTAAAACTTAAACTTGCTTCGTCACAATTATTTTGTCTAAACCAGTGTTTTCCAAACATATTTTCGAGATGTCGTAATAGTAATAAATTTTGATCTTCAACCCTAATAATATTCAATTAATATTTATAAAATTTGTACGCTTCCCATATATAAATTCTACTCTTTAACCCTTGACGACCTGTGTGTACGTGTGTCGCCTATTGAAGTTATCCAATGCTTCGAGAATTCTAACATGTTATTGTAATTTTTAATTTAAATACATTTTCAATGTATTGAAAACACTATCAAAGGTTAAAAATTGTGCACTATTCTATGTGATTTCTGAAATTTCATTTACCAACTTTAAAAAAATTGTCTTTTTGTTAAATTTGTTAATGATAAGAAAAATAAATAATATTTATATCTAGCTATCGGTTTAAATAATTCAAAACGAATGTTTTTGTATTGAATCTATTTTAAAGTTCCCTCCGTCTCAATAGATGGCTCTAGAGTGCAGGACGTGGACCTCGAGTTGGAAAACACTGGTTTAATGTAATATTACCATTATATGGTTAGAACATCTACAGCACAAAAAAGTACGGTTCGAAAAAAATAAGAGAAAAAAATTAATAAGAAGAAATGCAAAAATAATATTTATAATTCAAGGGGCACAACTAGTGTAACCGCCTAAAAAAAGGTGATTTTTGGGAAATTATATTAAAAAAACTACTTTATCAATCATTTCAAAATTTTAGGAATACATTTATACATGTTTTAAGAATACATAGTAAAATTTTTGAAAA